CTGAGGGTCAAGAAATCGAGATGAATCATAAACAAGACACCTTGCTGGTTATTGCTCAGAAAGAGCTGTGTTCATAAGAGATTGATGCATAATAATTATGTCTTAATAAAATTGATTGCTAATTGGGGGTCAACACGCATGAAAACTACCAAGATGTCGGATACTTAGGGGAAGAGACTATAGTAAAGGTAACAATTCAACAAAGAGCATGTTCTATAAGATATATCCAAGATTCCCACATAACTGCAAATATTCAGGCTGAAAGAAAAACAAAACTGCATCTTGTAAAACATAAACACAATTACCATTCTTTTTGTCTGCAATCGGAGGACGCACAACCACATGCATAGTGATGAGACCTCCTGGTAGTTCTCCAACTGGATTTCTGGAATCAGCAAGTGTCCTGTTGTTTTCCAGTATCTTTCCCGCATTAATAAGCTTCAAATCATTTATTGTCCTTGGACCATTTTCTTTCTCTATAAAACAGATTACATTACATAAGAAAATTATAAGTCAATCTCAAAGGGTGCGATCATAAAGCAACCTAAGTTTCATTACTTTTGTCAAAATATAGGCTATGTTTGCATTTTTTCAATATTCTGTTTGCTCAGTGCAAGAGGCAAACACATGATATGTCTATTTTCCGACATCAGCAACATATATGCAACAACTATGACTAACTTAAGCATACACTTTCATAACATATGCTACGATAAAAGCAACAACAATTTCCAAAAACATATGACTAACTTGAGCATACACTTTCAAGAACGACTACGAACTCCGTCATCTGACTAATTTTATCAATATTTTGTTTTTGGATTATGCTCAAGGTAGTCATCTGTAGGAGTTAGTCATATGTTCTAATGCAGTAATAAACAAGTACATTCAAAACATTATCCATAAACATATGACTAACTTTAACATACACTTTCTAGAACGACTAAGAACTCCGTCATAATTCATTTGTATCGATTTCAAGCCGTTACATGAGATCATATCAACACTGAATGACATAGTTGGAGCCTCAAATTTCTTGGATAATGGCACAACAACTATAATAAAAGCAACAACAATTTCCTCACAGCATTTTCAATGCATAAACATCATCATATTTCAACAATTTTGGCCAATATATCATAAAAAATAATGTGATATGTAGAACGAGAAGATGCAGAAAAGCTCTCAAAAATCCCAACCCATATCATATAAAAAGAAAAAGAACCTTAAATAATATAGGTTCGGCAGCAATATAAAATAAATAATAAAAAGAACAAAAATTTAACAGAAGAATTAATTAGGATAAAAAGAAAAAGAAAAAAAAACCTTTAGGCCATTGTGCCAGTATTTTCTCCTTGAGTGATTGTACAGTGGTAGATGGGCTATACTTCTGTGGTCCTATGTCGGTACCATCAATTAGCCTGAATTTCAGCTCAATCAAATCTTGACCTGCCGCCATTGATGAACCTTCCAATCCAGCAAAACCCCACCTCTCAATTTCTCAGACCACTCTCCAAGAACCAGATTAAAACCTCCACAAATGGCATAAACAAAGAAACCCAGATCAAATCTGATCAAGAATCACACTTGGATTAAAACCCAGAAGAGTAAAAGCTCATATACCCATGAAAGAAGCAAGCTTTTTATCCAAAAAGCAAAGCTTTGTATCCAAAAAGCAAAGCTTTGTATTGAAGTTGCAGTAAAAAAGAACCAAAGTTCTTGGTGATGGGAACCCAAAGGGCAGTGACAGATTAGAAATCTGGATAGACAGAGAGAGGAAGAAGAAGAAGAAGACAGCTCCTTTGAATTGCTTGATGTAGAAATTAAGAAAGTAGAAAGTCTGCCTGAAACGATCTGAGCTAGATTTTTCACCTGAATTAACAGAAATTTCTCAGTCATAGATGTGTGATTACATAATTGCCCATGTCTTATCTTTGTATTAACAAAATTACTTTAAACTTTTTTATGACATGTTTGGATGTAGTTTTTGGTAATTGACAGTTGGAGAAATGTTAATTCATGTCAATATTATAAATTATTGACACCTAATTGTTTAAGGTTAATTCATGTCAATATTATAAATTATTGTGCTAAAAACATGAGGTATCAGAGAGTCCATAAAGAATCCTGGTTGTAAGAGTCTCCTTAACATTTTTGTTAACTTTGCAGCAATGTGATGACTAGTAAGATTATATTTTTATTAATCAACAATTGTCATCTATCTAATTTGAAGTTATACACAATTCGTTAAGGTTGAGGTTGAATGTCATTTAAGCAAAGTAGATTTTTTTTTTTTTTACAAATTATATTTTAAATTATAGGAAATGAGGTTTGAACTTACGTGCAGAAATGAGAGCACACAACTCTAATCAACTTAACTAAACCCAATTTGTAGTAGAAACTAAATGTTAATTAAATAGAAATTGAATGTTATGATACAATTGTCTTTCAACTAAAATAAGCTGAAAATAATTAGTTTTAAAATCTTGACACTAGGATATATGAATAATGAAATAATAATTGAATGATAGGAGGATACTTACTAGTCGATTGTTTTCCTGTCTAGATACATTCAAAATTGTAGATTCTTCTCCCTTCATGAATTGCATTAGGTTAATGAGAAATATAATCAAAACTAGAATAATACAAGAATAAGAACAATTAAGCACTTGTGATTGATAATTAATCTTTTATTAGTGACAGTTGTCTTCACTTTAGTTAAGATTAGATTCTTCAAATTTGACTCACATGAATGCAAATAATATATATTTATGATGAATTTAATGCTTAATTGTGCCTACATAAATAATAATAACATAATTTTGGCACGAGTGTGATGGTCCGTCTAAAAAGTATTTTTCGTAAATAAGAGTGGTTAATTTATGGGAGCACGCTACTCAGTACTACGGTTTAATGATATTTCTCTTCACTTGTAAATGAAAGGTCTTAAGTTCGGTTCTTGCCAAAGACGAATTTGAAGCACATTATTGCTAGTTCATTGTGAGGCTAAATACACTCTCTTTTTTTAGTGTAGAAAATATCATTTGTTAAAAAAATATATATTATGGGAGTAACCCAAACTGGACCTGGTCAGAAATGTAAAGTGGCCTTTGAATCAGATAATTGTTAAGTAATTGTCTTTTTCTAATTAGCTGTATTAATATCTGAAAGTTTGAAGGTGGTGGCGGCGGCGGCGGTGGAAGCGGGCAGGCTACTTGCTTTGGCTTTGTTTTTGTTTGGTTGGATGTTAGTGAATTTTGTCTGTCCCAAAATCCTTTTGCCTAATTGCCATTTGTCGTTGGCAACTTGGCACCATTTTTCAAAGCATGTGTTAGAAAAGAGAAACGACAACCACACATATTAATTTTGTTTACATGCTCTTTTTCATTTTTAATTATCAAATTAAAAAAAATTAAAAAAACAAAACAACAGACATAATTAATCAAAAACGTATAAGAAGAGAAAAATATTTGAACGATCGTCATCTTCCATTTAGATAACCATATAGCATGATTCTTCAAATCATTGAGTTGATGTAGATGAATCTCTATCCACTTTTAGTAACAAAAAAATGATGGAGAATGTTAAATAATGGGGGAATTAGAATCCCTTTAGATAACTTTCCATGACCATTTATGACTTGGTTCATGAAAGCATCTAACAAGATCACTATTTGTCATGTTGTTATTGAATTGGTCAATATTGTCACCCAAAGTAAACCTATTCAGATCAAAGTCATGGACGGCAACCACCATGACAAAAACGTTTTCTACGGCACCTAATATTTTGAAACATGCAATACGAAATAAATGATAAATATGGACTTGAGATTGTAGAGAATATGTCAAATCTCAAATGAATAAGGCATCGTTCAAATTTAAAGGGGTTTTACTAATCTAAGGAGTTTAAGAGCATGTTGAGACTATTTTTGAAATGGTTAAAAAAGTTTCTGATTACATTTGGTGAACAGATCTGAGTCATAAAAGGTATTTGAAGAAGTACATGAGTATCACTTCTTAAAAAATCACTATCAAGTACTTTTTCATATAATAATTGAATTTTTAATAATAATTTCACTATGTTTCTAGTAAAATAACTTCTAGGACTTCTAGTAAAAACACTTATTAGCATAATCACTTCTTATAGAATTAAGTCCCAAACGTGTCTTAATACTGTCTAATAGGTACTTTTTATTGAATTTGCTTAGAATTTTCTCGATATCCTAGGCCATTTTGTTAGTAGGAAGAGGTTCCTATCATAGTTACACTAGTGTGATGGGAAAATGTTTCCATCACAGTTATATGGATGTCATCCACAATAAAAGGAAATGATTGATTCTTTTTATGTAAGAAGACAATATTTTTTTCTTTCAAACAAATCACAGTTACACAAGTGTAAAATAAATTATATAAAAAAATCTCTCTATTAAGTTATTTTTATGCGTTAAACTGTGTTTCGAAGACGAAAAATACACTTTAAGATTGTGTAGGATTAGAATGAGGCTCACAAATGAGTCAACCAGACAACTTGCAGGCTGGCTCCAACCTCCAACAATCACAAAGCAATTCCCAGTGACTATTGGAGGCCGAGGTCTGCTCAAAAACTATATTCAAATTCTGCATTATGGCATCAGGGAACCTAATATTCCTCCGCATAATTGCATGCCTGCATTTTGAAAGCGATTTTTTCACATGGTTTACTGCCCCAGCACTCACTACTTAAAGGTGACGATGCTTTATTAAACTGAAAGTCTTTGATGGCAGCTAATGTAGATAAGACTATAGCTTTCAGTTATTGTTCCTCATTCAAAGGTGACGATGCAAGCATTGATATCAATGATATCAGATATATCATACCATGAATACCCTCTTAAATACCCTTTCTTTCTGCAGAAGAAACACAATTCTAACTCTGCAATGTGAAGAGGATTTTATAAATACCAAGTATGAATGCTTGTTACCGGTATGGAAGCAGTATACAGATAATATACCCGAAAACAATGGACTAAGCAAGCGCGGCAACTGTATTTTATTTTCATTCACTTTTACAAGCAATGCGTATACAGTACATGTACTGTCTATAGTTGTACAATAATATTCAATCAAATTTACATGACCTTTTTCCTTTTCCTTTTCACCGTGGTACATTATCGAGCAAAATGGACACCAAGTTAGGAAAATTCAATGTCGAGGGCAGCATATATTATTCATATAATGTACTATATACTATAACCTACCAGAACTGAAAACTATAAGCATGTGCTTATATATGCAAAGTGCACCATTTATCAACTCAACTCGATCTTCATGCGCCATACAGCTCGCTTGAATAGATTCAAAGAAGGGATTCTCAGCCTTGTGCTAAAGATCAAGAATTTGACAACCAACCAATTCACCTGAACCAAAATCCCTCGTCCCAATGACCTTCCACACAACTGCGTCTGATTCTGCCACAGTGTCGGAAGGTTCAAGCAAGGAGCTAGGCATGAGAGAAGTTGATCTTGGTGACAAAGAACCCAAATTACTGCACAGGTCAGCACGCAGAACTGCGATTTCATGATTCGCATCTTTTGTGATGACATGAAGTTTTCCATGAAAACCAGCAAGTAAATACGGAGAATCTGAACCAGCAAAGTCATGAATAGGGACTTTTCCTATAACAACTTTCCAAGCATCTTCTCCTTGATCGTACACCTTGATCTTACCACTATCCAATGAACTCGAAGGATCAAAAGCATATAATTCACCATCTACCACAACACTCAACTTTGTACCTGCCTGCCGAGCAGGCCAACCCTCTCCCATGCCAAGAGGCATTTCATCCCAAGAATTTGTCTCGGGATCATAGATTTCTCCCCCAACATCAACAAAAAAGGGCCATGAATACAGACTCTGGGATACGCATAGTCTACCCATGTAGGAAGTCAACCCAGTGGCAATAGGCCTTAGCATGTCAGTCAAAAAGGCAGTGGGCAAGGCTTGAGCCCTTGAGAATGGCATGCTTGGTACTTCGGACCACGTACCAGTGGAGGGCTCAAAAACTTCGGCAGACTGAAGGGGGATCAATCCACCTTGTTCCCGACTAACTCCTCCAACAACATACAATTTATTATTCAGAATGCTTGTCTTACAATAGGCCCTACTAGCAGACATGGCTGTCACTTCACTCCATGCATTCTGAATTGGATCAAATCTCCAGACACACCTCATGGTCGTAGTTTTATAAAATCCACCTAGAACATAAAGGCATCCATCAACAGCACCAATGGCGCAACCGCAAAATGGCATTTGTTCAAACGAGTTCTTTCCCCCTAGCCAGCCTCTAATAGTATGAGCAATTTTGAGACTTGGGCCCACCATATTCCACATTGAAAATCTAGAAGAAACCTTACTGTATTCTTCTTCATAAACTGCATTGGGCATCTGAGGTAGCCTCTGCCACATTCTTGACAGGGGATCAAAAGCATGCCAGGAAAGTTTATCCTCTTCAATTTTTGTCAACAAGTACAGCCATTCTTCACTTCTACCAATTTCTTTTCTCAATTTAAATAGTTCGGAGCTTGTAACAGTTTCCTTCCACTTCCGTGAAACCAACCTGATGTCAAAGTAGCAAATTCTAGGAAGTCTAGCAATAATTTGGACTGACAGCTCATCAGGAAGATTGGGAATTAGTCTTTGGCTCTCCTCCAAAGTACATGATGACATTCTTCGCCTCTTGCAGGTATCATTGCGAGAGACTTCATGGTATTCGTTTCTCCCAGACTTTGAGCCAGCCAAACTCAGAAGAGCCCCCATTCAGAAACTGCAAAGATCAGTAAATTTCAGAGACCGGACGGTACCTTTTAGTCCCACACTTGGAACCACCCAAACTCAAAAAGCGACCACATAGTTGACTTAGCCTCGTGGATGCAAAATTATTCATTCTACTTTCAGTTGATCAATTCCAAAACTTGAACACACGCACACCAGAATTGGGATCAGCAAAACTCAAAAAACGAGACCATTTGATTTCAATCCAAGTTCTACAAAATTATTCATTCTACTTTCAGTTCATTAATGCAAAAGATAAATGAACACACACATACAGCCACAACAAGCGAAATTCAAGAGTCCAGTTCAAAAGTTATCAAACCGGATGTGATATGAAACTTATGCACATTTGGCTCCAAAGTTAACGAAAGACATTCCACATGCTGTTGAGTAATATGTGCTAAATTTTGTGATGCTTCTCATGGAATTACCCAAAAACTTTAAATCCAAAGATCACAAAAAACCCTCCTCCAAATATGACCTTCACTCTTCCCGACAAACAAGTATTTACCTTCATCCCGATATTTACAGCAAAATTCAACCTTGACAACTGATTACTCAAAAATCCCATAAAAATTTTAGCATCAAGCATTTCGCTATTCCGATAAATGAAAAGGAATTAACATATAATCCATTGAAATTCAGCCTATGAAAATTAACAACCAAAGAAATTATAAATTCCCACAAACAAAAACTTAAAAAAAAAATAAATAAAAATTGAATCTTTCAACTCAAACCACCAAATTGCAGACAAATTTTGAGCAAGGGTAGATAAATAGTTCTAAGAATTCACATTCAGAAAAATTGAAAGAAAAAGAGAAATTGGGAATCCATCAGAATTTACCTTTCCAGAGATAAAATCTGAAGCCTCAGAGATTTGGTAGGTAAAAATCCAGGAACATGCAGATTTGAGAATTAAGGTGTTCCTTTTTGTTGAAGCTTGATCTGCTTCATACTAATAAGGAAAGACGAAGACAAGAGTATTGGAGTTTACTGGATAATGACACATGTTTTATGGTTTTCATCACGTTGTCCAAGTGGATTTTTTATTCATCATTTTTCTGCTTGCTGAAATAGAGAAAGACCATAGTCTAACAAGGTTATGGTTGGTGGACTTGGCTTCTCTGAAATTCCACTTCTCATACATTTTCATCTTCTTCTATTTGTACGGTCACAGTTAAGTTAAATTAATATTTTATATTATTATTATTTTTTATTTTATTATTTTATTATTTCTATAAAAAAAATCAATATAAAATGTTAACGTGGCTTAATAGTGACCGCATAAAATAGAAGGGGATGGAAGTGTATGGAAAGTGGGAGGGCATAGAAGACGGGTCCATATTTGGTTTGGAAGTATTTTAAAGCGATTTTGATGATATTGATTTTGAGTTTTAAAAGTATTATAAATAATTTTTTAAAGAAGTATTAGATATGCATTTTTTGAAACGAAAATTTAAAATATTTTTTTTTATATCCACTTGAATTTTCAAATATGGTTTTATTGAAAAAGTTTTTCAATCATTTTAATACATCCGGACAAAATTAAAATAGTATTTAAAGAAAGCTTCGTGATATTTAAACCACCAATAATTTACTCAATTTTTTTTTATGGGACATATTTGACTAACTGAACACTGAATAGTGTACAGATCATATGATTTTCGTGTAAAGAATGACATTATTTTAAGATTTACACATGATAATGGAACATTACACATAAATCCATCAACAGATGTATTTTGTGTCTCTGGAATCACTCCATCACGATAATTTTGGAAGCAGTGAGGATTAAGAGATGTTCAAAAATTCAATTTGCTTAGATGTAATAAAAAAAAAGTCAAAAATTACAGTGTCGTAAAAGAAAAACTGTTATCCTGCACGAACAATTTTAAAATATTATTATGTCTTGGAAGTCTTCAACCACAGCATTTCAATGCCAACACGTGCCTTTGGTTTTGCTTGATTCGAACCGTCTCTGTTGAGCCACTGTTTATGACATTCCATTATGGTCAGCAAAGGACAAGAGTTTACATAAAAAATGAGTTCTTATTAATAGACTATTACTTAGGGTTGGGCTCGTTGGAATAGAATTGAAGGATTGGGGTTATGGTTGTGTGGGTTAATGCTTGTATTATATACTTTAATATAATTAATAATAATTAATCAAGATAAGGGCTTTAGAAGTTAAAACTGTTCAGAGTTTATTAATTTTAATTTCAGATTAAGTTTTTAATAATTAAAAATATTTTGATTAAGAGACACAGCTTTTGAAAAAAGTTGTGTATTGTGTATTTTCAAATACGCTCAACATGTATTTGAAAGTGTATCAAACAACCTATATATTTGCAGTCTCGGTTTCCAGCAGAATTATCTTTTTTTCCCTCTCAAAGCAATTCGTCAGAATTCTATAATCCAGTGCAAGTTTGAGAATTAGATAGTTGTATCCTGGTCAAGAAGACGTCGTAGAACCGCAAGCATAAAAGTGGGACGGAAATACTGTTTGAATGACATAGCTTCGCTAGCCTTTATTTGTCAATCAAGTCACTATCATTTTAATTTTTATATTTATTTTGTTTGTTGTTTCATTTTATATTGCAAGTATATTTCATAAATAAAGAATCAATTATTTCAAATTCTATAATTATTTATTTTCTGAATTGTTCTCCAACAATATTTTTGTTGAGCAAAGTGTGTTGACCAACTTGACCCAACAAATATAACTTCCTAGACATCAATTTTTCGCCGGTCAACAATTTATTTACAAAAACAAAAATTGTTTGCCCAACGACCGGGCAAACTGTTTATTTTTTTTAAATGTACAATATAAATTATATTTGATTACATTAATTAATTTTAAGTATATTAATGTCAAAAGATATCACAACATTAAAAAATAATTATACTAAAACTGAAATGTTTGTACGATTATATTAAAACTGAAAAAAAAAAAAAAAATTCTCGGTGGCGCATTGATGAGGATGATGGCTCATATCTCCCAACTTAGCAGCTTGTGACTTCAATCTCGGAACGATTATATTAAAACTGAAAAAAAAAATAATTATCAGCCCATCCCTCCCCCACACCACGTCCCACCCTCCCAACCCGTCCCCCACCCTCCCGACACCGTCCCTCGTTCACCCTCCCTCCCTCCCTCCCCACCATTCCCACCCATTCACACATCTAACATCAAATCCACACATCTAATATTAAGTTGAAACATCTAATATTACAAATTTACACATTTCAAATATTTCACAAATTCATATATTTAAATTCGAAAAAGGTGGGGACAAAATACCTTCCATAGAGATAAAGAGTGAGAGAAAGACCGAAAAAGAGGGCATGTAGAATTGAGAGAAATGGCAAGAGGAAGAAAAGAAGAGGCTCTTGGCCAAATATAACATATGAATCCTTTGCCCAACGAACCAATTCGTCGGGCCCCCACACCCGTCCACCAACCCTTCCAACCCTGTCCCTCTTTCACCATCCCTCGTCCCTCCCCCACCCTCTCCATCCATTCACATATCTAATTTCAAATCCACACATCTAATATTACAAATTTACACATTTCCAATATTTCACAAATCTAAAAAAATTAAATTAAAAAAAGTTGGGATAAAGGGCATAGAGAACTGAAAGAATCGGCAAGAGGAGGAAAAAGAAGAGGCTCTTGGCCAAATATAACATATGAGTCATTTGCCCGACGGACCAATTCGTTGGGCAAATGTTTAAAAAATTTGGCAAGTGGATTATTACTTAAACAATTCATCAGCCAAATAAACCAATTCATCAAGAAAAGATTACATAGAAATGCTTGCGTAGTTAAATTTGTGGCGGAAAAAAATGGTGGAAAAATATATTTGTGCGACAAATTTTACATTGTTTTAACGGGCAAGCCCTCTAATCTGGGGGGAAATTTTATTTTTTGGGAAAAAAGTGAGGGGGAATTTGAATTTGCGTAATGAATTTAATATTGTTGCCCGACAAAGTAGGTAAGTTTGGTTCGACATTGGTAAATTTCGTCGGGCAAACACAAAAATTTTGATTTTTTCTCAATGTTTATTTATTTATTTTCAAATAGTTAAAGTATCAAATTTGATGATCAAGTCAATTCAGTGTGTGGTTTATTCTCAATTCGGGTCTTTGTAAAAAATCATCAAAATCAATTGTGATATAGTCGTTAAATTGTGATGATACGTTAGTAACTGTTGAACCTTTTATCTCGTTACCTAATCCCTAAAAGTTTATTTTTGGTATATGCAATCTCGTATTATATTTAAACAAGTTTGACGGTTGGATCCTGAAAATTAGTTTCGTAGTATGTGTACCCGTCCAAACAATAGATTCAACAAACACTTTGAGTTTATTCTATTCTTCCATTAAGTCAAACGTAAGATTTTGTGGTAACCACTAGAGTAAATATTTAAAAATGATGATCCGCTCTGTTCTTTGTATTCTTCTAGGGAAAATGAGTGTAGTTGTAAAAAATCATCAAAAAAGCAAAGTTAAAAAAAAGCCGTTAAATCGTGATGATTGATTCTAACTGTCGAAGGATTTCATCCTATTACTAATCCCTGAAAGTTTGGTTTTGGTGATTTTTGGCATATGTGATCTCATACTATATTCACACAAATTTGATGGTTGAACCGTTAAAATTAGTTTTGCAGATGCGAAAACCGTTAAAGGAATTGAATATGCAAAAATGTCCTTCACCTTTGTCTGACGAATTGTAAACCCTAAACCTTAAATTAGACTTGGTAATTTTTTTAAACGACACATAAATGACACGAAAATAACGGATTTCGGGTTGATACGATAACTAATCAGGTCATTATCGGGTCACACGATAAGAACTCTTTAATAACGGGTCCACGTAGATAATCCATTTCGACACGTTTAGAAAAATGTTATTTTAATGATTTTAATTTTTTAAACTAAGAAGAAAACTTACTATAAAAACCGATAGCATAGTGTATATGTATATATTGTATATCAAATATGTATTATTCATTATTATTCTATATATAATTAAAAAAAATTAAGTTTTAATTATTTATTTATTTATTTTTATAGTTTACTATAGGCAAAGAGTGAGATTAAAAAAAATTATAAAACACATTAAAAATAAAACTATCAAGTAATTTTAAAATGCCAAACACATTAAAAAATTATAATAATTAATTTACAAGTGCATAAAATATAAAAAAAAAAGGCTAATGCTTGTGATCCCATCCTTTACGCTTTGAGGATGGGTACATCGTTGTTTGAATTCCAGAACCATACAAACCCTCATGAATAGTATATTTAAGGGAGTTCAAAATAAATAAAATTCATAATCATTAATGCACAATTCTAAAAAATGTGAAAGCATATGTAAACTCTCGTGATTGCATCCTCAACCTTGAAACGCAACTCCCTTCATTTTGCATATCCTTGAACATTTGGTATTTTGTACAATGTGATATGCATATACTAATTTAGTATTATGTTTTCCATTTTTTTGGGTCAAATTATATTTTTCATTTTTATTATTTATTGATTTAAAATATATTATCTTTAACGAGTAACGGGTTGGGTCATATTACATAATAATATTAATGGGTCGATTTCATGTCGAGTTATATTACCTATTTATTTTAACGGGTGTTACACGATATTACCTATTTATTTTAACGGGTGTTACACGACATGACCTGTTAATATCAGATTGTCATGAAAACGATACGAACACGGAAAACATGACACGAATGACAGGTCTACCTTAAATAATAATATACACATTTGCCCAACATTAACTTGGGGTTGTTGGGCAACACAGTTTGCCCGATGACATTTGTCATATTTCATCGGCACGAAGTTTTTATAGACTTTCTTTCAACGTGAAAATTAAATTGCGAATTGAAATTAAATTAATAGAATACAATGGATTGCACATAATATTACAACATCGAATTTACAAACTGAATTCAATCATTGCCAGTATACTTGTCTAATGCATTATCGTTGTTGAATCGCTTTTAGTATTTGAGACATCGC